CGCTGTCGTCTGCAATTTGCCTCAACCAAGACTTATTCATTTGTTTTTAAAGCTGTCCTTCGGATACGCAGCATGTGTCTTATGAACCACCACTCTGTCGCCTCAATTGTTCTTTCCAGCTGTCTATTGGTTGACCATGCTTCGCAACCGTATAATAGGATTGGCTCAATGTAACTTTTTAGTACTCCTTTTCTTGTTTTCAGTGACTGATTGAGGTTTTTAAGTATCAGTCTCATTTTGTTTTTTGTTGGGTTTTCTTTTTTTGGGGGGGGGAGGGTAAGTGTTTTACGGCGCTCGCAACTGCATAAGGTCATATGAGCGCGCAGGACACACCTAATCCTTTCAGTTGGTAGGAAATTTTGAATTTTGCCCGGGTGGCGGCCGAAGCCTACTCTTATCGATTTTAGACCACCAAGGGATCTTTAACGTGTGCAACTTGCACACGGGCCCTCTGAGATTTTTCGCCCTTGTCTGAAAATGTTAGGTGTAGATCTTTCGTTGGAGTTATGGGCAGAAAATGAACACGAAAGCAGACGACAGAACATTGCTAGAGAGCAGGAAAGGAGGTGAAAGGAGACAAATTTAGAGAAGAAAATTTTTAGGACGCTACCCGGATTCAAACCCGTGACCTTTGAATGAGAGGCCAACTCCTTAACCTCTAGGCCACGAGAGCCCCCGATTAGAGGTATGACAAGAGAGTAACAAACAACAAGTTTGATAAGCACACACATATAATCACTACATGATGTAATAGTAACATGGCACCTGAAAACGGGACAAGGTGACAACAAAATTACACAAAAACATTGAACAACTTCCAGAGTCGTTTGTACAGTTGCAAGTATGTACACCACATGTGCTCTATAACAGTAGGAGTTACTGGGAGCACATGTGCTCTATAACACTACAGTAGGAGTTACTGGGAGCACATGTGCTCTATAACAGAAGGAGTTACTGGGAGCACATGTGCTCTATAACAGTAGGAGTTACTGGGAGCACATGTGCTCTATAACACTACACTACAGTAGGAGTTACTGGGAGCACATGTGCTCTATAACACTACAGAAGGAGTTACTGGGAGCACATGTGCTCTATAACAGTAGGAGTTACTGGGAGCACATGTGCTCTATAACACTACAGTAGGAGTTACTGGGAGCACATGTGCTCTATAACAGAAGGAGTTACTGGGAGAACATGTGCTCTATAACAGTAGGAGTTACTGGAAGCACATGTGCTCTATAACACTACAGTAGGAGCACTGTCCCCGTTCCCTGAGATCATAGAACTATTGTGAAGCGAGCTGACAGACTGAGACACTTCTCGGATTTGGGCCCTCTGTAAATAGAAAGGCTACATCTCGCTTATATAATAGACCACGTTTTCACAATTGTACGAAATAATAAAAGACATATTATACTTAAACTTAAAGAATATATATAGTATCAATAGAAAATCTACAAAGTTGATCCTAGTGTTGATTTTTGGCCAATATCTCCATATTATTATAGATAGCGAGAAGTAACTCATTTTGTCAGCACGCCTCACTAGTAGAACATTCCACATGGTCAGCCTCACTCCACAAGTCCCCATGTAGTCAATGTCTGGGGGGGGATTCCAGGTAAAACCACTTCGGTATATATATGAATTTAAAAAATCAAAAATGCAGATTTTTTCGATTTCCATTTCATTACCGATATTTTGACAAGTGCCTGAAAATGAAATCAGGTGCTCGTCAAAATGATGAAATCTGAGAAACAAGCATTTTTTCGCCAGTTTGACATCTGTTCCCGTGGTTTTATGCACCCCGCTTAATTTAGCATAATTAGATAATTTTTTGCATAACTTCTGATTATTTTTCTTTATCATTCTTGGTTAAAATTAACAGAATCGCATAATTTCACATTTTGGGGCTCAGTTTGCATAATTTCATAATAATTTTTTTTGCATAAAAAAGCCCCGGGGACAGCTAAACAAAAACACATTTCCACATGAATTTTACCGAACAACATTACTGAAAGGCACAAAATACACAACTTTTCAGTGTCCAAGTTCAAGGACTCTTGAGCTAGATTGAAGTTGACAAACGTTGGCGGCTAGTTCCCTGCTAAATTCACCACTGAAACCAGACCACCTCATCTCCTTCAAACCTACAAACGCAAATATCTTGACTTCCATTCAAGATATGTTTTGTTTAGTATAGGGTTTTACGGCGCTCGCAACTGCATAAGGTCATATGAGCGCGCGGGACACACCTAATACTTTTTCGTTGGTAGGAAATTTTGAATTTTGCCCGGGTGGCGGCCGAAGCCTACTCTTATCGATTTTAGACCACCAAGGGATTTTTAACGTGCGCACCTTGCACACGGGCCCTCTGAGATTTTTCGCCCTTGTCCGAGTAGGCTAGGTGTAGATCTTTCCTACAAGAAGATCAGGGGTGTGGCAGAAAGACAGCAGTAAGGAGGAGCCAAGGAGTAGCAGTAGAAAGACTGCAGAAAGAGTCAGGAGGGGGCAACGGAGGTGAGGGGGTGGGGGCAGAATGAGGAGACGAAAGCAGACAACAGAACATTGCTAGAGAGCAGGAAAGGAGGTGAAAGGAGACAATTTTAGAGAAGAAAATTTTTCGGTCGCTACCCGGATTCGAACCCGGGACCTTTGAATGAGAGGCCAACACCTTAACCTCTAGGCCACGAGAGCCCCCCCCCATTCAAGATAGATGGGTATTTTTGTCATTGAAAGCGAGGCAAATGAATATAAGCTGTCAGACAATACCGTACCAATAACTCCACATGCCCAAAAATTGACGAGTGCCTGATTGTGATTCCTCCGCGTCGTGACACATACTCTTCATGTCTAAAAACACAGTCTACATGATAATAAAAAATCCCACAATACAATAATGAAAACATTTCCGTGTTCCTCAAATTTCACTATGTGCCTGCTAGACAGTAGTTTCAATCTGTTTCGTTATTTTCTTCCTGGTATTTAGCACGGGAAAGAAAAGAAGAAAAAAAAAGGGGGGGGGGGGGGGAGTGCCCAAGTCATGGTTCTGACACAGGCGTTCTCTTTTTCTTCAATTTTCTCGAAGAACTTTATATAAATTGACTTGACGCTTTGTGGAGTAACGCTAACAATATATTGCTCAATGAGCTATTAATAGCACAGGTGTGCGTGGTGTTGTGTGTACGACAGAACAAAATAACAAAGACATGAAGGAATGGAAAAACAATCGACATAACGCAGTCGTACTTTATGTCAGGCCAGAGACTTGTTGGTAACACGATGACAAAACATTTTGTGTGAGTGTGTGCAGCTTTAGCCAGTGATAGCATCAGGGTCCTTCCATGACGAACAAAACTACAACAACACACGTAAACATGTAACAACACACGTAACAACACACGTAACAACACACGTAAAGCAGGGATAACAACCTTGCTGAAAACATTCCCAACAGTGACGGAGCCAGATATTCCACACACACAAAAGGAAAGAATTGCTCTATCGCTATCACTGCATAGAATTCTCTGTTGTTCAGAAGTTTGTCACCTTCCCATTACGTATGTCATTGCAGTTTCATTAGTCATGGAGCGGCCCATCAACAAGGTCAAACTATAAAGAGCTCAGGAACTCTTTCTCCACTGCGTCGGCTATTTCATCGTCCACAGAGCCGATTGAGTCGTTGTCCTTCGAGTCAGAGTCGGAGTCCGGAGGGGCGAAGGCAGCCATGTTTTTCTCGTACCTCTCGAGCTCATTCTCCGTTTCGTCATCGTCCTCCACGTCTGTCTTTTTCTCCACTTCCTCCACGTCCTCTTTGTGTTGCGGAGAAAAAGACTTCCTGCGGAGCTTCCAGCCGCGAGGGAAATCCCCAGCCAAGCTGTCAGAGTCCGAGTCGGAATCCTTTTCTTTGCCCAGAACTTCCTTCCTGACGCGATCCTCGCGCTCCGTGTCGCTCTCTGAGCTGTCTCCCTCCTCGTCCAGCATCTCGTCCACTTCCTTGTCCATGAACTCGATATCCTCGTCAGAGAACGAGTACAGCGGATTGTAACTGTTCGCGAAAGCCTCAGACTCCTCAGAGCCCGCACTATCCGAGGAGGAAGAAGAAGAGGGTTTCTGTCCGTCGGATTTCCCACCCGCCTGTTTCGTCGAGGAATCCGTTTTCAAACGTTTTCCCACCGCAGCAGACGAGGCTGTAGCGTTCTTGTCGTCTGCCGCCGCGGCTTCATCATCGGCGACGTCCCCCCCGTCCCCCGCGTCTCTCCCCGACTTGCGTTTCTTGCTCCTCCCCTTAGACGTTCTCGGAGTCCCCGCCTCGGGGCTCTCATCTTTGCTGCCCAGGGGGAAGAGCGTCTCGCTGACCCACTCCCAGCGCTCGCTGCACATCCACAGCCAGTCCCCGCTCACCACCTTGATACCCTTGACCTTGAGCGCCATCTTGTGTTTCCCCGTGCCAGCCTTGGCAGCCACCAGGTGAGTGGTGGCGTCGGGATCCGAACCCCCCTTGGCTTTGTTCAACACAATATCACTCTGAATGTTGGCCCCTAGCGCCTTGGCCACGACGTATGCCTTGCTCTTCTCGGCGGCCATGTTGAGGGGGAACATGCCACTGAACACAACGTTGGCTCCCTTCAGAACCTTTTTCCTCACATACGGAATGATGTTCTTCAAGTCCGGCAGCTCGGCGGAACTGTTCTGCAGCGACTGTTCGTACATTTCGTAGTAGGCCTTGTGCACGCGCTGCAGCACTTCCTGTAGGTGGAGCAGATAGTCATCCTCGTCCTCCCACTCCACTTCCTTCTTCTCCCCCACGGAAACGTTCTCCACACTTTCTCCGGCCTTTTCGCTCGACTCTGCGCTCTGTACCGCCTCTTTGCTGTCCCGCTGGCCGTCAACACATTCACTCGCTACCTCCATACTCTCCACCCCCCTCCCCGTCTCCTCCGCGCCCCCATCACTTGAAGCAGCACCTTCAACACCCGCACACACAGCTTTAGTCGTGTCAGACTCACCTCCTGGAGTCCGTTGCGAGGCAACACAACAAGAATCCTCTTTAGAAATCTGAGCACCCGTAGAATCCTCCAAACTCTCAGCAGTTTTGTCCCCACATTTATCGTCGCCTCCCCCGGCAACAGTCCCGCTGACCTGTCCCGTTTGTCCACCGGCCCCCACCCCCTCCCCTGGCCCGGAGTCTGACTTCTGCCCGTCTGAGATCTCCTGTGAGATGTCTGCTGTTTTGGAATATTCGTCTCCTTTCTGCCCCGCAGCGCCGTCGGTCTTTGAGTGGTCGACGACCTTGTGGTCTATGGGCTCGCCGTCGTGCTCCGACTTGGTCAAGCCCGGCGGGGCGTTGATGTCTGCCGTGCCCTGGAAGAAACGGTAGGGCTTCACATGGACCAGATTGGGCGCATAGTTCCACACGTCTTCTCGGTCGTCGATGATGCCCACCATTTTGTCACCACACGGGAACAGGGCTCTGTGGATGGAGCAACAACAACAACAAGCTACAGCATTCAGAAAATCTTTTTTTAGAAAGCGCTGCCGCGACTGCCTTGCTGTCCTGGCATAAATTCACATTCTCTGTTTTGTTTGTTTAAGTACACAGGAGCACATCCATACAGTAACAGTCGATTAAAATCTTCTTTATGGTTAAGGGGACAGTTTTGATAGTCACGCCGATAAGGCTAGTTAACTCTCCGATGTTGTGGGGCGTTAAACCCATCCACTTGCTCAAGCGGCAGCAGGTCACGTTCTCACAATACATCACCCGGAGAACAGACCAAGTTTTTTTTTGCTTTTTTTTAGGAAAGGTTTTACGGCGCTCGCAACTGCATACGGTCATATCAGCGCCAGAAGATCAGAGGTATTGCACGGAAGTAACAAACATAAAAAAGAAGAAGGGGAGATAAGGACGATAGATGTTTCTTAGGAAAGAAGAAGCAAACCACACAAGAGCACCCGCCAACCACCCACTAGACTGAGTTTACTGTTCTTGGAACGCTAAGACAGACCTGCCAAGCACCCCATGACCGAAAAAAAGGAGTTTTCCTCAAAATCATCCCCCAAAAATACTGTAGAAGTTTGGGGAAAAAATTCTGTCTCCAAAACCCCCATAGATTAAGACTACACAACCCAATGGCCACGAAGAAACGTCCATAATAATAATTGCATTTATATAGCTTATATCCATGCTCAAGGGCATGTTCTATGAGTTTTACGACTATCATTACCCCAGCAGACCATCTGAGAACACTCAGAAACATTCTCGGCTTCCGCAGAAGCATACAGTGCAAGCTGCGGATTTCACGCGCTCAAACACTATCAAACTGACAAGATCGTTCACTGTCTATAGCCGGGTACCCATTCCCATCTGGGTGAAGTGAGGAAAATTCGTGTAAAGTGCCTTTCCCAAGGACACAACGTCGGGTCCCTGACAGGATTCGAACCCATGACCTTACGGTTGCGAGTCCGAGAGCCTAACCACTAGGCCACCGACGCCATCATAGCAAATACACCCAAATAAGAATGTACAATTTTAGGTCATTCACAATCAGCTGTTTTTGTTTTAGTAGAGGTTTTACAGCGCTCGCAACTGCATAAGGTCATATGAGCGCCAAGAGGTGGATGTCAACAGAGAAGTCCTTACAGGGAATCAAGACTTACTCTGCTCACCTCTCTAGCTTCAACAGCACAAAGTCTGCTTCCACTATCAAGGCACCCCGGAAATAGCGGGTCACAAGAGAGTGACAAACATACAAAAGAAGTAGAGGAAAATGACGATAGTAAAGATTAGGAAAAAAAAAGCAGCAGTTCCCTGTTGTAGATCAGGCACAGTTATGAGCATGACATTGTGGGATCAGCCCATTTACAATTCTACTGTGTATTAGAACGAGGAATGTCCCCCATTTGGGAATGGCCTAAAGACACTACAGTCAGTGGCACTGCCCGGGGGGGGGGGGGGGGGGTTACAATAAGCTGTGCAAATACACACAAATTAAAAAGTGTATTTTCACATCATTTACAAAAAGTATCATACGACCTGATGACTGATGGATAAGGAACTCAAGAAAAAACTCGGATTTTTAGCAAATCTGATCAGAGTTCTTTGACATACGAAAAATCGTTAGACCGTTCTGATTTTACCGGAGTGCCTGGAAGGTATGCTAAAGGGGATTACACTTGGACAACCGGATAACTCATAGGGTAATAAAAGAGAGGAGAGACAACTCACTTAAGGTTGGCAGTCTTTGATAAAGCGTCGAAGCACTCGTCTCTGGAGAGAATGCGATGGGAGAAGTACTGCTCCTTTGGATCCAGGAGCCGTGCGATTGTGTGTGCGTACATGCGCACGCCGAATGTGCAGATGTGTAGCTCGTACATCTTGGAGATGGTCTCGATGAACTCCATGGTGTAGGGCCGGAAGCGGGTGTGGTACCACATGAAGCTTTTCCCGTGCCACAGGCGGAAGTGTTTCACGTCCTACAAGATAAAACAGGATAAAACAGAGAATTATCGAGAAGTGCTTCACGTCCTGTAAGATAAAACAGAGTAGAAAACAGAGAATTATCGAAAAAATAAAATGCTGGGGACAGATCACCTAATTTTTATCTCAGTAAAAATTAGCCTACGCGCCTGGGCAAACATTTTGCCTTTACTGGAAAAACAGAAGGCAAAAGAGGCAGGGGTAGACCAAAGAACAAGTTACAATGGAGTCCACTTAAACCAAATACGGTTAATCAGAAAACAGCAGTAAAGCGACTTTTTTCTTCATTATTTGAGCAATCTCTGTAAACTAACAGCATGGAAAAACTGAAAAAAATCGAAGTCCAATAGTTTTCAATTTAAGTGGACTCCGTGGATACCCGAGAATATTGAACAGAAGGGTGACAGGGAAAGATCAGGACAGTGTACGTTTTTGGAGAACATCTGAGCAGAGAAATAAGTGGCAAACCATGATCTTTGACGTCTGTTTCAGGTTTAGTACTCCATGAAGATAATGATATTGATGTGTCGGTAAAACGTGTGTTGATTAGCTACAGTTCTGTGATGATGATGATGATGATGATGATGATGATGATGATGATAATGTTGATGATAATGTCTGTAAAAGTGTGTTGAACAAGCACAATTCTGTGATGATGATGATGATATTGATGTCTGCAAAACATGTGTTGAACATGTGCAATTCTGTGATGATGATGATGATGATGATGTCTGTAAAAGTGTGTTGAACAAACACAATTCTGTGATGATGATGATGATGATGTCTGTAAAAGTGTGTTGAACAAGCACAATTCTGTGATGATGATGATGATATTGATGTCTGCAAAACGTGTGTTGAACATGTGCAATTCTGTAGTGATAATGACAGTGATGATGTGTGTAAAAGTACGCTGTGCATGTACAGTTCTATGATGATGATGACAATGTCTGTAAAACGTGTGCTGAGTAGGTACAATCCTGTGATGATGATGATGGTGATGATGATGATGATGATGATGATGGTAATGATGATGATGATGACGACGATGATGATGACGACGATGATGATGACGATGATGATGATGATGATGATGATGATGATGATGATGATGATGATGATGATGATGTGTGTAAAAGTACGCTGCGCGTGCACAGTTCTGCGTGCAGGTCACCGACCTTGAGGTTGGGCGGGATGTTGTCGTTGGTGGTGTGGATGAGCGTCTGGTCAAGGTCGACCAGCAGCACAAGCTTCTTCTGCCGCAACAAACGTTGCTCGTCCTCGCGGCCCAGCTCCATGGCTTGCTGAACCCCACCAGACAAAGAGAGAAACAAATAAATCAAGTCACTTTTAAGCACAAAGGGGCTATCCCGAAAAATGTTGTTTTGAGAAAATCAAAGGTAAAGTTTTTTGGACCCTTGTTCAGTTTCTTTAAAAGACAAGGAGAGTTTTCTCTATAACCAAACAAATATACACCAATGAAACCAAATTTCTCCTATAGGTAGGGCAATGCCCACTTTTGGTGTAGGTCAAGATTTCTGGAAACTCCCAAAATCTGGGTTAGCCCGCTTGTCCTTAAAAGCGACCAAATAAGGTCGTAGGCAGCAATTGATAAGACAAACCAGCATCCAGATTAATCTACATCGTTATCCTCAATCAATATTCACTCATAACCATCATCGTTATCCTTAATCAATATTCACTCATAACCATCATCGTTATCCTTAATCAATATTCACTCATAACCATCATCGTTATCCTTAATCAATATTCACTCATAACCATCATTGTTAATGTAAATTGTCAATGGTATACACAAAAAAAAAGAAAGTTAGAAATGATTTATTTCACAGCAATATCTGTTTGTTATTCCAAACAATCTAACTATCACATTAACATATTTCACTCATAGCTTACCAATATTTGACACAAAATCTGGACATGGATTTTTTTTTAAATGCAAAACATACACAAGGAGTATCCTTTAAAAAATACTGCTCTGACTATAGAAGTGCCCAAATATCTATAGAAATATTGGCAACAGTAAAGTATCTCTCCCTCTCCCTCGCTCTACAAATCACGCACGGATCGCGAGACCCGCCTCGTACTCTTGTTTGGCCAAGCCTGAGCTACTTAGACTTCGTTTCGTATCTCAGGGGCCGGTAGTTTTTAAGTTATTGAAGGTGAAGGACAGTGACCCCAACCGGGGTTGAACAGACCAGAACTCACGCTTTGTTTTTTTCTATACAGCTGATAGTAATCCGACAGTCGCGTCGTAGTAACGGCCGAAGAAGTCGCATGAACAAGAATCACATAATTTCGCCGTTTTCTATACTTCTGTACGTTTTACTAGTTCTAGTGTCTCAGAATATGATGTGTCTAATAGTTAGGATCCTGGATATGTACCCGAACACGGCCCGAGTCGTAGTTCTAGGGCTAGATCTAGCACTAGTACCGGTGTTGTTTTTCGCGCAACGAAATCACAACGTCGTGCCGTACATCTGTCTCATGTAATTCAGTGTATGGGTCTGAATCAATGCACAGACCAGCTTTTATATTTTCACCAAACACTCGCACATGTATACAAATCAAAGCAGAACACTTTGAACTTTTATTTTTGTTGTTGTAGTGAATTTCATTCTACTTGTCACGTCTCTGGAAATTTTTGGGAAAATCAAATTCATGCCAATTTTTTAAAAATCATACAAATTAAAGTATTAGACTTAGACAACTTTAGTTTTTTGTAGTAGATTAAGCTTGAATGTTACTTTACTGTGTCAAAAAATAATTACAATAGGGTAATTCTGAGAGTTGTGGTGATTTATTGAAATACCCCCAAAAACGCCAGTCTTCAACGCTTGTGACTGGTGAAAGGGCCCAGTCGCAAGTGAGTTAATGTACCGCAATGATGACAGCACACAGTTTCCTCTTCCTGTAATACATTGCCGCAACACTCCTCCCAACCATGACCCAGATCCGCCCACTAGGTCTATCACATTCGATATTTGGGGTGGGGGGCAACTTGACTTTTACCAAAATATTTACCGGTACTTTCAACTATGCTCCATGGAGCAGCAGGGCTACACATTTCCTTTGTTGGAATCACTTTTATTTAAATTTAACTCTTTCCCCATGTCTGGACGGTGGCAGCGTCCCGTAGTCGCGGTCCGTAACCATGGCTGGACGGTACCACCGTCCGATGCAAAGTTATTGAACTTTGGTACGGGCCGAATATAAAAAAGTACGAGCTAACAAGCCCTTAGTTTGACCCAGAAGTCAAAGATAAATGAATTCTACGTCTAGGTAACACTTTATTGATGAGTTTGAAACGAACAAGCGTTTTTAAAAACATAACATGTCAGGTCGCATTTCCACAAACACGAGAAAACTACGCGGAAACGTTATTTTAAATTGCATGGTTGAAGAGTTTGTCAGTTTGATAGTAAAGCTAAAATATATGACTGTTTTTCTTCATTGGCTCTCCTCATCAGAAGCCTTTCCCAACCACCCGGTCACACATCTGACATGACCAGAATCTCACTTTTCAAACCGCGATCTAATCAGAGAGCGAAAGAAGGGCACAAACCTCCTGGCTAACGATCAGTTCAGGAATGCTGTGAACCATGGCCACCGAGGCACTCACGGCTTTCTTCCTGTCTCCAGCCAAGCCAGTCTCCCTGGGGGAAAAAAAACAAAGCAAAACCATATATATATAAATAAAAGGTTGTTGGCAGAGAAAACACTACAACACAAATTGAAAAAAATCCCAAAATTTTATAGTTAATGACTACTGAGATTTGTGTGTGTGTGTGTGTGTGTGTGTGTGTGTGTGTGTGTGTGTGTGTGTGTGTGTGTGTGTGTGTGTGTGTGTGTGTGTGTGTGTGTTTGTCATGAAAGTTCATAATTTTCCGTCATCATCAGCAAGTCAGGGAGGAGTAAAACTAGAAAACAGAGAATTTATAAAATATTTAATCTTCTGATACAAAAACAACTTCGGTACTCAGACCCTCAAAAACATAAACAGTATAACATGGATAAGTCGAACACAGAAGACTGGAAATCACGCATCCATCGAACTGCGCCAGCGATTCCAGTTTTATTTTTTCCGTCCTTATTTTTGTAAGATATCCCTCCAACTACAGATCCCTTGAACTACCGAGGCCGGTCCCGACAAATGCGAGCTATCCCTGTTAACCTGTATAATAACGTATTTTTTTATGCATGCACCGGTTGCCAGCTACACCAAAGCTCTCACGTTCTGAGGTCGGCGCCGCAGTCGGCACACATGTCCTTCATGATGGTTGGGTGGCTGCAGCTCGCGTCCGTCTGGTTCTGTATCTTCAGCACAACGTCTCTGCGACAGGAAAAACAACGACCAGTTAGGGGATATTGAGAACATATAAATTTATAATCAAAGCTGCTGGGAACAGGGAATGAAGGTGAGGAGAAAAGAAGTACCCTAGTTCTGTAAAAAATTGATCAACATGAAACACAATGACTACAACAGAGAAGCATTTGAGGAGATAGGAGTGAGAGGTGGGGGGTGTTTGTCGAGGTGAAGAGGGGGTCCTGCCCCCGACAAAGGCAAAACACACATCCTTGTCCTAATCCTATACACAGCCACGGTTGAATTTTTTCTAAGAAGCCAGTAGGCCTACATAGCCAACAGTCTAGTCATGGTTAAATACAGAATATTTCACGAACACTACGACGGCTAGCACTGCCAGAACATAGAGCTCTCTGTTTTAATCTTCTCTCTGTCTCAATACAGACCTAGGGCTGCCTTGGTACACACTACATATCTCTCTACGCTTATTATTTCTTTTTTAAATACATGCGCATTTTATGCCCAAATCGACACAATTCGAATCAATTGGGAGATCATGGGCTTTGATCCCGCCTGTCGAGGCTGACCTGCTTTGAGACAGGGGATACAATGTCCCAGCAAAAAGACAGACACAAGAGATAAAAATTGTAACTACCCCCACACAGGAATTGAACTGAAGTCCTCTACGCGCGACAATGATGAAGTGCCTTACTGCTACACCCAGGGGTGGACGTTGAATAAAGCGTAAAAGCAATGCTTGCCTCATCTTGTTTGCCTTGCCTTCTTGATAATCCTCAAATTCTATTCATCATCAAAGTATTTTTTTATTTGCAAATGTTCTCAAAGTGTGTGCAAATGAATAATTTAAAGAATCCACCAAATAATTCCAAAAACCAAATGCAGCTGATTGACATTCTGCGTGTGTCAGTTAGATCTAGTTGAGTCCACAACAAGTCGCGAGGACATCTTTGTGTTTCCATTTCTTATATATATATATATTAATATAACAGTGGGTGTCGCATTCAACGAGGTTGCCGGGACCGGCTTGTTGTCCTCCTACGATCCGACCTCTCGTTGAACGTGACTAAGGCTAAAGAAAAGAAAGGAAACAAGTTATTATAATATTACACAATGTACCAATACCAGAAATTACAACAGTTGTTCCCCCTGATGACGAAAATCTCAAACAGAATTAGTGTGCACGTGTTTGAGCTGTGCTCTGACCGTCATTTTTGTATTTTTAAATACTTTTTTTGCGGAACACTTCTTTGTGTGGAAACATACCCTCTCACATCGAGGCCTAGATCTACATAAAACAAAGTAAAGGCGGGAGCTTGGATTTTCTGATCAGGGGAAGAAAAGAAAATTGAAGAAAATGGTCTCCGATCTAGACCTACCCATCCAGAGTTCACCCAGTTTCACACAACCTGCATCGCGTTCCCACCCACCCCCTCCCATTCCTACCGTAGGCTAACCCTCGCCCATCCTCTTGGCTTTCGGGCCCAAAATATATTAGGAGGCACACTAGATCTAGCAATACAATGCGTTAGGAATCGAAGATGGGCCTTGTGCTTCGCGTGAGATTGAGAGAAAGGAGAAACATTCTTCGCTTTTGGGGCCGCTAATTGCTTCTATTTGGTTATCGCGACCTCGTTGAAAGCGACTTCGGTCTGTTTGCAACCTTGTTGGAACTGACATACATTTACAAAGAGGAGGAAAAAATCGGGGATTAAACATTGCCTCGTTGGAGCCAACTTCTCGTTGAAAGTGACCTCGTTGAATGCGACATCCACTGTATTGAAATTTGATAAACTGAGAGTTAAAACTTTAAAAGTAAAACAGATCTAGATGGGCCTTAAACTCTAAAATTAAAAAGGCATAGCTGAAAAAAAAAGAATGATTCATTGATCGATCATCTCATACAATTTCTTAACCTGAAACTGAAATGGGAGAAAGAAAAGTATTTTTCGTGCAACAGGTGTATCTAAATATCTAGATCTAGATAATTTTGGAGGTAAATCTAGGTCAAATGCATTCCTCTCGTCCTGTCCTGAAAAATATAATAAAACTCAGGAAAATTAATAAATTAAATCTTTGTTTTGGCTGTGGACATCGGCTCTCGCTCACATTTAAAAATCTAAATTTAATTTTTTATTTCGAAGTGACTATTTCTCCGAACGCTCAGGAAAATAATTCAATTTGGTTATTTGAGAGATTTAGGCGTCATCCTTTCATTCTGCCATTCTGCGAGGACTGGGAAGAAGCATTTTTTGCATCAAATTCAATTTCTAGAGCTAGAGAATGTCTGAATATTCAGATCAGTTGTGGTTGGGGCAACGTTCCCAGACTATACTTCATTAAAAAATATTTTCAAAAGATACTGCGAGAAAACAAGACTGCTCGACCTTGGCAATAACCTATTTTGCATCTAGTCACCCAGCAAAAACTAAAATCCTTCACGTAAAAAAAAAAGGTAGTGTCAATTGCCACCGAGAAAATTGGAGCTCTTTTGTGTTGGTGGGTAGTTCTAGCTTATACTTATTGTGTTCGTCGAGTGCTCGGTGTTGTGCGTTCGCATATCTGTCCCTCTGTGTTTGTGTGTGTGTGTGTGTGTGTGTCTTTTCTGCTTGAGTTTGTGTGCGTTTGTGACCTTCTACTTCTAGAATTGCTTGTGTTGGTTCTACACCAAAGTGTAGGCTAAGGCTAGCCTAAATCTAGGCCTACGTCTCATTGAAAACATGCCAAGTTGGTACCGTAGCTCTTGACTAGATGCTCGTCCAATGAAATTAGTTGAGAACAAATTGACCTATTAGACACACATTATGTATAATGCTAAAGATAGTGTTGTTTCAGACTTGACACCGCTTCACTCTGTGGCAATTGACAAAAGTCAATTTTTGTCAATTGCCACCGCGTCACTTGGTGGCAATTGACGCTACCAAAAAATTCCCTCCCCGCCCTCCCCCCCACCCGTTCACACCTTACACACACACACACACACACACAGACATGCACACTCACACAGCTTAAAATCAACAAATCTCGAGAACGGAAAACCGTTCGGAGAAATAGATCTAGATCTAGATCTAGAGTTCAAGTTTATTTTCCCAAACGTTCGGAGAAATAGAGCCTCTTTATTGTGCATTGTTGCCTCTGATGAATGGGGTGGATCACATGGAACATGATGTTGCAATAGGGCAACAATTGGACACAATGTACCATATATAAATGATGAGAATAATTAATTAACTATACAATTGACTATTATTGACAATTGAGTCACTATTAGTGGCTTGGTGGATATTTTTACCCGGGTTTGGCGACAGAATTCTCCTCCACGACAATTCGCGTCACAATTCCAGTGCCTGCAGCCTTCAGCTTTTTCGGTGCTGTTTTCGTTTCTTCACCATCTTCTTCATACAATGCCAGAACTGCGCCCTTGAAGATCATGCTATCTTTCTTTACTTTCCATTTTAATATTTTGATATCCCGGTCCGCCGGAGAACAAATTTCTCTCTCGGCAGTCGCCATGTTGAAGTTCGGTTCATCAGACGTCAGCGTTTAGTATGTTTAGGTCGTTTCCCGAAGTGGAACTGCGCATGAAAGCTCTGATTGTTTTTTTTTCAAAATTGACTTATCCTTAAGTCTTTTTTTTCGTTCATACAAATTTTTATTTATTAGAAATATTTCATTTCAAAGCTTTTTTCCCCCTCAAATTTGACAATCCTGTTCTGATTATATCTAAAGTATCAGACCTCGTGTACTTAAATATTGCACGGAGACGGAGACGACCACATCTAAAAAACTTGCCGCGACTTTCGAGTTTTCACCATGAAGAAAAACTTCGGAAATAAACAAATTAATTGTATTTAATTTAGTAATGTTGAGTTCATTTGTCATGGTCACTCAGTTTCTTTTTAAACTCTTTTTTATATCATGTTTTCTCACATGAACCTATTAATACTAAACTCAGAATGTTGGTGTATTTGCAACAGGTGCTGAAATAATAAACAGTTATATATATATAAGCTTACCAGAGACCAGGCTATGTAAACATTGCTGCTAGGTCTCTGAGCTTACTCATACCATCCTATTTTAGTTTTGTACCCTCAAAAATACAAAATAATTAGATGCAGTACATTCAGTGGGATTCTGTTTATAAATTAGCGTTAATCTCAAAAGCCTACTAGATCTCGATTTATATTATCCACGTTCACGTTGCGTAAAGATGGGGGTATTGTATTGTGGGACATCTAGAGTTGTATTAGGAAGCTTCTCTACTTCTCTGTATTGTGAGGCATCTTATAGTTGAATTAGGAGGCATCTCTGTATT